TGAAAACTTCCAAATTATGTTTGGAATCACGATATTGGATAAAAGAGTAAATAAATACATGAAGCAGTCTTCTTGAATGTTTCATATATTTATGCTGTATGTAAGAATAGATTTATATTTAATTAAGAGCATTTTATAGGTCAATTACAGCTGCATAAAGTTATTCACACTAAATGTGAACAAGAATTTCTGAAAAACATTAGTAGTCAATACCTACAAATTTATTTATTTTCTTGTTCACATAAATACTGGTTCACCACAACATTGGTGATCGAGCTGAACAAGTTGTACACCGTTTCACTCCTAAATTTATATGGATATCGAAGTTAATTTTTAAAAAAGTTGCTCCTCTCAAAGAAATTTGACAAGATAACCCAACAACATGAAGATACCCAGTAATGTTTCAGTAAAATTTATCAGTAACAAAGAAGTATACCGTATTTCGCGGCTTATTAGATGCATGCTTTTTCCCATAAAATGTCTCCAAAAAACCACCCTGCATCCTATAAAATGAAGGTCAGTGACAGAAGCTATAAGTTTGGGGTGTGGGGTGGGCTGTAACTCTCCCAGTTACATCCGATGCTGAGCCATTGAAACTAAAAGAAGTCTATAAGCTGCGTACTCCTCAAGGAAGGTTCCTTGATGCTGGTGAGGGGCTCTTGATCTAGGGAACTGGATCTGTGCTCCAGTTCCCTGAATACCTTCCATCTCCCCCACAGGTGCTGTATAATCCTATGGGTTTAGCACTTCCCCCTTGATTATTATAATAAAAATATAAGCCCGCGTCTTACAAGCTGCGAAATATGTTAATATTTTTGGATCCCTAACCAACTTGGTTTTAATACTGAACATGATGAGAAGGGACCTGGAGTTATTTTCTGAATGTAACATTCTAGTGATAGCCTTGCAGAGACAGAAAACACATCCATAAACTAGATTTGTGCGCGCGCACACACACGCACGCACACGTGCACACGTGCACACGTGCACACATGCACACACGCGCACACACAAATAATTTGTTGATATTTAACCCTTAAACTGTCCAAACATAAATCTACGTTTGCGCGAGTAGCACTCCGGCCTTGATTTTCTCCATGAGAAACAATGTAAAAAAAAAAAAAAAAAACATAGATCTACGTTCGGAGCGCTATGCGAGCATACGTTTGGACAGTCGAAGGGTTAAAGGAAATTAAAAAATTGGATCCTATTCCTGGACATTTTGGCTTTTAAGTACTGTACACTAAAAGATCTACATAAAGTTTCATAGTTTACATTTATTCAAGAGTACCTTGAAGTACAATTATTTTATGAATAAACTTAAAGATTTTTAAACTGTGAATAAACTAAAAGATTATGGGAAGAATAACACTGATACAAGAGATATTTTTCATTACAATTTTTGTGTTGAGTTGCATGCCTATGTGTACTGTTTGTGGGTCCTGAATACATGCCATCATTAATATGAGAAAAATATGTACAGTACAGATAATTAGAATAAACCAATATCAATGATACACTAGGAAATTTTCAGCAGAATTTATTCCTAACCTAATATTCAACTAGTGAATATCATTATGGGATAGGCTCTTAGGTGGACAATACACAGTACATATTTTAACCCTTAAATGGTCCAAACGTATATATATGTTTTTTCAACATCTGAAAGTATGTAAAAAAAATGTAGATCTTCTTTTTTGTTTTACATTTGAAAATGTGTAAAAAAAACTTTTATCTACATTTTTTTTTTGTGTTATATATGAAAATATGTAAAAAATAGTAGATCTACTTTTGTAGCACTGCGAATTTGAACGTCGATCTGTTTGGACCGTTTAAGGGTTAAGCGACTTAAGCATCTGATAACCACATGGTGGTAGCTAGAATATGGCAAAATACAAAGGAATTCAAACAATGAATGGTTTCCCGCAGCTCGACTGCTAGTGCACTCGACTCACACTGAGGTCCGGAGTTCAAATCCCTGGTACAGCTGGATAACATTAGGATGTGTTTCCATGAGACACCTGCTGTCCATGTTCACCCATCAGTATAAAATGGGTACCTGGGTGTTAGTCAACTGGTGTGGGTCACATCCTGGGACAAAACTGACCAAATTTGCCAGAAATGCTTTGCATAATAAGCGGCTTTCTATACAGCAGTATATCACTGATATCAGCTAGGCCTGTATACCTTGTACATGTACAAGGTATACAGATACGTATACCTTGTATGATCATTAATAATAATAATAATACGTATACGTACATGTATTATTATTATTAATGATCCTTTGGTGCAAAAATGGTTGGCTCAAGTGTACTGAGGTGGATATCAAAGAGAAATATGATACAGGATTCAAAGTCAGAATGGAAGGAGAATGGCATAAATCATTGTGTTAAGATTAGTAGAAGGTTCTATGAAAATTGAGATAAATAACAGGGAAAAGGGTATAAAGCTGGATAAATATTGAAAAACCTGTGGCAAAAAAGGAGGGATGCATTAAATTACCGAGGGCTGAGGAGGGGACATTAAGGGAAAAACAGAATTCCTAAGATATAAGATTCTGTTCAGATTTTTAACCCCAGGGGGTTAGCCACCCAGGATAATCCACAAAAGTCAGTGCATCATCGAGGACTGTTCGTCTTATTTCCATTGGGGTCCTTAAATCTTGTCCCCCAGGATGTGACCCACACCAGTTGACTAACACCCAGGTACTTGCTTGCTAGGTGACCAGGACAGCAGGTGTAAAGAAATATGCCCAATCTTTCCATCCTTGCCGAGGATTGAACCACGGACACTCAGTGTGCGAGGCAAGTGTTGCCCACTAGGCCATGGGTGTATAAATCTGGGGTTGAGAGAAGGAGGGGTAGGGGTCATCCTAGGAAAGGTTGAAGGGTGGGGCTAGGATACTGAACAGGCTTGTGTGAGCATGTTAGATAAGAGTAAGTGAATGCAAGTGAAGGACCTGCCTAGTATAGGCCAAATATTTTGTTAGTGGGATGGATTGTGAAGGACCTGCCTAGTATGGGCTATCAGGCCTGCTGCAGTGTTTCTCCTCTCTTGTGTTCTTAAGTGATTTTTATGATTTGCCATGCTGTTAGTGTGTGTGAAAAAATAGTCAGGAAAACTGGCTAGCCAGACTGGAGTTCTGAAGATGGGAAATACAGTACCTGAACTCTAGATGGGTGAAAGTGTCTTCTTTACTGAGTCACTCTACTTTGGTGGGAGATAGCCACAGTGTTAAAAAAAAAAAAAAAAAATCTGTGCCAATATTTACAAGCAAATATGAAGTGTGGTCCCAGAATGTTGCAACCAGAAGGTTGGAGGTAATGGAAATATGTCAAAGATTAACCATGTGATGTAAATATTATCCACAGAACAAAGAATAAAGAAATTATTTGTGACTGTAAAAAGCATAATTCAGTGAGTCAACAAAGGATTGTCAGGAATGTTTGGTAAACTAGAAAGGTATCAGTTGATAAATAAAGAGTATTTAACTGGGATCGACAGGTGTGAAGGTCCTTGTTGAAAAGTGGAGAAGAGTGGAGAATAGGATTTATAAGTACAATGGTACCTTGACTTATGAGTTTAATTTGTTCCGTGGCTGAGCTCGTAACTCAATTTGCTCATGTATTAAATAAATTTTCCTTACTGAAATACCATTAATCCATTCCAGCCCCCCAAAAAACACCCAATTTTTTTTATGGGTTTTTAAATAAGAAAAATGTATTTATAAATAAGAATTATTGCATAAAAACATAATAAATCATAAAAGAGAATGTAAAGAAATAAACTGGTTTTATAAAAGTGCATTTACCTTGGATCAGGCACAGCAATGGATAATGTCTTGTCCATTGAAGTGCTTGGGGTTTGCTGCAGCAAATAAGCATAAATGCCTCATGCCTTCTCGCAGAAGATACCCTCTGTCACGGTATTTCTTGCGAGCTGCTTCTCCATCAACCACATCAACAGCAGCTTCTCCATCTTTTCATGGACAGAGGTCCGCAGCTTAGAAATTACGTATTTTAACGCCCTTGGCTGGCATTATAGCCTTTATCGACTCCTTCTACTTCAGTATGGTACATATCGTAGAAGAACTGCGCTCATACTGCCTCGCCAAGTCGAATACATGTACACCTCGCTCATGTTTTTCTATGATTTCATGCTTTAATTCAATGGACATCATCCTCCTCCTCTTCTCAGCAATGTCCTCTGCACTTAGGACCCATGGTTAGAAAAAAGAAATTTGGCAAAATAACTGCACAAAACACAAGCACAACACAAGTGAGATACTTCCACGGCATGGTAACCACGTGCACTGAACGAGTGAGACACAGGATGCTGGGAGGATGTTGTGGCATTCACTGCGCCAGCTAGTGGCAGTGTACCTGAAGCCCGCTTGTAACTCGAATTTTGGCTAGCAACTCAAAGCAAAAAATCAACCGAGGGATGGCTCGTAACTCAGAAAACTCGTAAGCTGGGGCACTCATAAGTCAAGGTACCATTGTACTCTTATAATGCAAGGAAATACATGTAGGGTTTTGAGAAAGCCAACTAGCTGGACTTCAGCTCTTGTACTTTTGAAAGTGGGATGGGAATGTTGCGATCCAGTGGGCTAACAATGGATTATGATGGCAAACACGTTTTCATCATTAGGTAGCCTCCAGTTGGTGGGATAGAAACAATAAAAATACACCTAAAATAGTGTAAGGTTTATGAGAACACATTGTAAGTGAACAATTTAAAACAAGCTATATCTGGGTATATACAGTGCTTTGGGTTACATGATATAATACAGGTATACAGTACTTGTAACTTATCACAAAAAAGTCGCTGTATCACCTAGACAAACTGAGAAGCATAGTAAGAGAACTAAGAACTGAATACTGCCTTTATGCAAGCTGAATATTACAAATGAAGGTAAGAGAAAATTACAAAACAGTAAGAAGTGAGCAAGCTCTGGAATGAACTATGCATGAGCACTGATCTAGAGTTTTGCTTACCTCTATCCCTGTCATAGCCTCTATCCCTGTCATAGCCTCTGCCTCTGTCATAGCCTCTGTCTGTATACCTGTCTCTGAACCCTGTACCAGCAATAAAAAAAAAAGAAAAAAAAAAAAAAACTTGGTCGTATATTATACAAATCTACATGATTAATCTACTGGCCGATAAGAAGATTCACAAAATGTATACAAAACTCAATATCTTAAAAACCTAACCAGTGAATAACATCTATCTCAGTTTCCATCCATTATTCTAATGTACAGAAGAAAACACCTACCACTGTCACAAATAATATGCTACTGCATTTGGAAAATTTTGTACTGTACAGCATATACATACTACGTAATACTAACTAAAAAAAAAAAAATTAGCATTCAAATTTTAAAATGGGACAAAGCCCAGAAGATGAAGATCTGACCAACAACTTATTAAGGGTTAATCAGGGGAGGCATAAGGCCAATCACTGACCTTAATATCTTGCACTACATTGTCATCCTTATCTTTTTTAACCCTGTCATTGGACATCACGTAAAACTACATCACTGAGACCAGGGTCCTTCGCATAGTTATATGTCATGAATTTGGCTCACTCAGATAAGTTGTGATTGGTAAATTCTGGCCTAGATATAAGAGAACGACTCTGCATGATGAGTGTGCACAGTAAAAAAAAATTCTGCCCCATGTGGTGCATGATGGGAAAAGCAAAACTGACAAAGTGTTTGGTTTAAAGCACTAGGATGGTTTTTATGGTTTTACTGGCTGTTTCTTTGTGTCATTTGATAGAATCGAAGACATACTACAGAAATAAAGATCATTTTGATTGGTTTCAGGACCAGAAGTAACTTGAAATTGGGTTCAAAGTAGCAGAAATTGATTTCCAATTTCCAGGATGACAGGTAAGGTCCCCCTATACCTGTTTTATGGGTTTTTATTAGGTTTGATTCAACTATTGCAACACTGTAAACCATTACCAATCATTCCTGGTTATATTTTATTATCTGGAAAATATAGTAAATCTTCTATTATTGTTTGAGTGTGAATTCAAAATGGAAGGCAAGTGTAATAAAGGAGAGGCATGGGGACATGATTAATGAAGATGAAATATTTTAGTGCCAGGAATGTCTACAATGTTTATTTTGCACCATTTTTATATTAGTATTTTTTGTGTGTAAAATTGGTCAATTTACCAACTTTATGCACTTTATATGGTAGTTTTAATACTTCAATGGGTGGTTTCTTGTATTCAATCAACAGAACAGAAGGCATACTAGCTAAATAGCTAAGAATTTGTTCAAAAGGAGCAATGGTATTAACTTAAAATAGGACTTAAACTCAATGAAATCATTGATACATAAATTGCACCCAGACCTCTAACTTTGAGTCCGTAATTCCATGAGTTTCCATCAAATTTTGTACTTTTGGTGTCATTACCTCCAGAAAAAAATTCTCTACCATTTCAGAAGAATTTTTTTTTGAAGTAGACACAGGGAGCAACATTAATATCGAGGGTCTGGGAGAAAGTTTAATATACATGCCGCACAATACATTCTTTAATAAATTGGAAATAAAATATTTTCTACAAGCCAATCATGCTCTCTTACAGTTTACTCTCCTTTATCAATGTAACTTATTTTGTAATATCAAAATATTGTGTCTTCTTTCTTTCAACACATTAGCCGTATCCCACTGAGGCGGGGTGGCCCAAAAGGAAAAACGAAAGTTTCTCCTTTTAAATTTAGTAATACACACAGGAGAAGGGGTTACTAGCCCCTTGCTCCCGGCATTTTAGTCGCCTCTTACGACATCATGGCTTACGGAGGAAGAATTCTGTTCCACTTTCCCATGGAGATAAGAGGAAATAAACAAGAACAAGAACTAGTAAGAAAAATATTAGAAAACCCAAAGGGGTGTGTATATATATGCTTGTACATGTATGTGTAGTGTGACCTAAGTGTAAGTAGAAGTAACAAGACATACCTGAAACCTTGCATGTTTATGAGACAGAAAAATGGACACCAGCAATCCTACCATCATGTAAAACAATTACAGGATTTCGTTTTACACTCACTTGGCAGGACGGTAGTACCTCCCTGGGTGGTTGCTGTCTACCAACCTACTACCTAGGATATATTTATACTATACATGAATAGTAATATATATATATATATATATATATATATATATTTTTTTTTTTTTTTTTTTTTTTTTCAACAAGTCGGTCGTCTCCCACCGAGGCAGGGTGACCCAAAAAAGAAAGAAAATCCCCAAAAAGAAAATACTTTCATCATCATTCAACACTTTCACCACACTCACACATTATCACTGCTTTTGCAGAGGTGCTCAGAATATAACAGTTTAGAAGCATATACGTATAGAGATACACAACATATCCCTCCAAACTGCCAATATCCCAAACCCCTCCTTTAAAGTGCAGGCATTGTACTTCCCATTTCCAGGACTCAAGTCCGACTATATGAAAATAACCAGTTTCCCTGAAATCCCTTCACTAAATATTACCCTGCTCAAACTCCAACAGATCGTCAGGTCCCAAGTACCATTCGTCTCCATTCACTCCTATCTAACACGCTCACGCACGCTTGCTGGAAGTCCAAGCCCCTTGCCCACAAAACCTCCTTTATCCCCTCCCTCCAACCCTTTCGAGGATGACCCCTACCCCGCATTCCTTCTCCTATAGATTTATATGCTTTCCATGTCATTCTACTTTGATCCATTCTCTCTAAATGACCAAACCACCTCAACAACCCCTCTTCTGCCCTCTGACTAATACTTTTATTAACTCCACACCTTTTCCTAATTTCCACACTCCGAATTTTCTGCATAATATTTACACCACACATAGCCCTTAAACACACATAGCCCTTAAACAGGACATCACCACTGCCTCCAACCGTCTCCTCGCTGCTGCATTTACCACCCAAGCTTCACACCCATATAAGAGTGTTGGTACTACTATACTTTCATACATTCCCTTCTTTGCCTCCATAGATAACGTTTTTTGACTCCACATATACCTCAACGCACCACTCACCTTTTTTCCCTCATCAATTCTATGATTAACCTCATCCTTCATAAATCCATCCGCCGACACATCAACTCCCAAGTATCTGAAAACATTCACTTCTTCCATACTCCTCCTCCCCAATTTGATATCCAATTTTTCTTTATCTAAATCATTTGATACCCTCATCACCTTACTCTTTTCTATGTTCACTTTCAACTTTCTACCTTTACACACATTCCCAAACTCATCCACTAACCTTTGCAATTTTTCTTTAGAATCTCCCATAAGCACAGTATCATCAGCAAAAAGTAACTGTGTCAATTCCCATTTTGAATTTGGTTCCCCAAAATTTAATCCCACCCCTCTCCCAAACACCCTAGCATTTACTTCCTTTACAACCCCATCTATAAATATATTAAACAACCATGGTGACATTACACACCCCTGTCTAAGACCTACTTTTACCGGGAAGTAGTCTCCCTCTCTTCTACACACCCTAACCTGAGCCTCACTATCCTCATAAAAACTCTTTACAGCATTTAATAACTTACCACCTATTCCATATATACTTGCAACATCTGCCACATTGCTCCTCTATCCACTCTATCATATGCCTTTTCTAAATTCATAAATGCAATAAAAACTTCCCTACCTTTATCTAAATACTGTTAACATATATGCTTCAATGTAAACACTTGATCTACACATCCCCTACCCACTCTGAAACCTCCTTGCTCATCCGCAATCCTACATTCTGTCTTACCTCTAATTCTTTCAATTACAGTGGACCCACGGTTAACGATATTTTTTCACTCCAGAAGTATGTTCAGGTGCCAGTACTGACCGAATTTGTTCCCATAAGGAATATTGTGAAGTAGATTAGTCCATTTCAGACCCCCAAACATACACGTACAAACGCACTTACATAAATACACTTACATAATTGGTCGCATTCGGAGGTGATCGTTATGCGGGGGTCCACTGTATAACCCTACCGTACACTTTTCCTAGTATACTCAGTAAACTTATTCCTCTATAATTTTTACAGTCTCTTTTGTCCCCTTTCCCTTTATATAAAGGGACTATACATGCTCTCCGCCAATCCCTAGGTACCTTCCCCTCCTTCATACATTTATTAAACAAAAGTACCAACCACGCCAACATTATATCCCCCCCTGCTTTTAACATTTCTGTCATGATCCCATCAGTTCCAGCTGCTTTACCCCCTTTCATTTTACGTAATGCCTCACGTACCTCCACCACACTTACATTCTGCTCTTCTTCACTCCTAAAAGATGGTATACCTCCCTGACCAGTGCATGAAATTACTGCTTCTGTTTCTTCCTTAACATTTAAAAGTTCCTCAAAATATTCTTGCCATCTACCTAATACCTCCATCTCCCCATCTGCTAACTCCCCTACTCTGTTTTTAACTGACAAATCCATACTTTCCCTAGGCTTTCTTAACTTGTTTAACTCACTCCAAATTTTTTCTTATTTTCATTAAAATTTCTTGACAGTGCCTCTCCCACTCTATCATCTGCTCTCCTTTTGCACTCTCTCACCACTCTCTTTACCTTTCTTTTACTCTCCATATACTCTGCTCTTCTTATAACACTTCTTTGTAAAAACCTCTCATAAGCTATCTTTTTCTCTTTTATCACACCCTTTACTTCATCATTCCACCAATCACTCCTCTTTCCTCCTGCCCCCACCCTCCCATAACCACAAACTTCTGCCTCACATTCTAATACTGCATTTTTAAAACTATTCCAACCCTCTTCACCCCCCCCCCCACTACTCATCTTTGCACTAGCCCACCTTTCTGCCAATAGTCGCTTATATCTCACCCGAACTTCCTCCTCCCTTAGTTTATACACTCACCTCCCTCTTACTTGCTGTTGCCACCTTCCTCTTTTCCCATCTACCTCTTACTCTAACTGTAGCTACAACTAAATAATGATCCGATATATCAGTTGCCCCTCTATAAACATGTACATCCTGGAGCCTACCCATCAACCTTTTATCCACCAATACATAATCTAATAAACTACTTTC